AAGCTTGATCTCTTGTAGGGAAAAGTTTTTACCAATGCAAGCACGAGGACCAATTCCAAATGGTATAAAAGCATATGGATGCCTACGTTTCATTTCTTCACAGTTGGGGTCAAACCTTTCTGGTTTGAACTTTTCTGGCTCTGGAAAGTTTATGGGATCTTTTCCTACAACTCCAAGCGCTAACCACACCCAAGTCCCCTGCTTACACAAATCAAGATTTAGTGACGGCACAAGTAAAACCTCGTTAGTTAATGATTGTAATTTGTCAAGAGTTTGTATGCCAAAGCAGAGTCCTAGAAATCATGAAGACTCAGTTTGGCTAAACACTTCTGGAAGACAAATGTTTTTTTTTTGTTTTGTTTTTTTTCCCCTTTTTCCTTTTAAGTATGTGTCGAAAAGTTTAACTGACTTTTATTGTTATTACCTTTGGAAGAAGATAGCCCCCAATTTTTACTTCATTTGATGTTTCTCTTGCAACTAATGGGGAGACAGTGTAAAACCTCATGGCTTCTTTGATCACCTGCATTGCATTAATTAAATTGAGATAGAGCATATAAAAGTTGTTCGAGGTCACATGCACTAGTAGTATGACTAAAATAAAATATCACAATAAATTAATTTTATAAGATTGAATTAAATCATAATTTACAATTTTGATCATATTAATTGACATTAAGTTTTCAATATAATTACAATAAGATATTTATAATGAGAAGTATTATCGATACACTCTAATATAGTAGTTAAAATTTATTAAAAAATTTTAAAATAAAAAATAGTATATTGTTAACATTTCTCATGTGTTGCATACTTTGTGGTTGCATGTTGCAAGTGCAACTTTAAATTTTTCTGAAATTTCATGTTTAGTTTAACCAACCTGATCAAGGTAAGGAAACTTGTCATGAAGGTCTTGAGAAGTGGGTATTTGATCTACTGGACCAAAGGAATCAATCTCTTGAAGCAACTTGTTCTCAACCTGAGGATGTCCAGCAACCAAATAGACAACAGAAGACAAGGTAAAGGAGGTGGTTGCTGAGCCAGCAAGTAGGTGCTCGTAAGTAACAGCACTAATGTAGTCAGGTGTGAACACATTCTCTGAAACTGCTTTTGTTTCTCTAGCATTAAGTATGAGTGACAAGAAGTCCTTTGAACTTCGGCTCCTATCTTTCATTCTCTTTTCAACAATCTCATCAAGACGACCACTCAGTTTCTGGTTGGTGCGTTCAATCTTCCAGTCCATGGTGCCAGGTATTCTCTTTAGAATCTGCCTAAAAGGCTCCTGAAGTATTGGCACAAGCAGACCCAATATAATGGATAAGGAACCAGACAAGTCCATCTTAAGTTGTGTTGTGGAGTATATGTGTTGGTTGATGAAATCTGATACTTCATTATCATCACTAGCACTTGCATTGTCATTGTTAACATTAACACTCTTGATGGAATCACAAATGGAATGGGGTCTAGAGAGGCCAAAGTTTACACCAAATGCTGCCTGTCCAATCACATCAGTTGCTAGTCTTAAGGATAGGTTGGAAAAAATGATGTCTTCTTTTTGAGAGTCAAGGCTTTGGGTCGCAGATTCTATGAATGACTGCATTGTTGGCACTAATCTGGACAAGTGTGATGGCTGGTACATTGATAATATAGTGTTTCGCATCGTAGACCATTGCGAATCCCTGCACCACCAACAATTGCAAGACACTGTTTATTATATATTGTGATTTGAATTGAATAGAAATTGTGTGTATTTGACTAGCATGAGCAATATAGTTTTGGAGACACGTGGCTCTGACTTTTGAATTTCATGACTAATGATCATAAAAGGGAAAGAAAATGATATTCAACTTAGTGGACCACTAGAGAAATCAGCATCTAAAGAATAGCTTTTACCACTTTTACTCGTAACCATTAAAATTTCATAGTGTGCATCATATAACTTTACTTGCCAACATGATCAAGAAATATTGCGGTTAAAATAAAGAGGAATTGTAAGTAATGCGCTCCTCTTAATAAATTATATTTTCTTGGTTAAAATTTATTAAAAATAATAAAATTAAGACAGAAAGCCATTAAATAAGAATATGAGATCTACTAATTTTATGTTTTTAATAAATTTTTGACTAATTAAAAAGCATGTCAAAAAGGTGTGCTTTTAGTATTTCTTTAAAATAAATAGTCAATTCATGTTAGTTTAGCTTATTTAAAATGTCAATCCTTGAAATTATTTTTGCTTTTTTTTAGTATTATCATATGAGTTAATCATTTATATATTATCAGTGTAAAGTTTTTTTTATACCGACAACTAATCATATTTTTTAAATTATTTTATTTTATTAAATAAGTAAATAACATGACACAATTGTGGGTGAAAATTTTTTTACACTAATAATATATGGGTAATTAACTCTTATCATATTGGTACCTTTATTTTTGTGTTTAAACTTTTTTCTTCAATTATAAAAATTCAAGATCAACATTTCTTATGAATTATAAAGATAAAATTTAAATTCTAAATATATGAAAAACAAATATTAATATATCTTAACAGTAAAACAAGTAAAACTACAAGGACGGGTTATATTTATTTTAATAATAAATATTTTTCTTTTAAAATTGAGTAATAAATATTTTGTTTGTAAAAATTTATATAATTAATTATTTTGATTCTTGTAGTTTTTTTTAAAGAGAGAATTTGATTGATTTCTCTTCTTGTGGTTAATAAATTATTTTAGTAAGAAATTTGTAAAACCTACTACCAGCCATTGTTAATGCATGTAGTAGTCTTTTATTCCTTCAAACTTTTTAAACTTTTCTTATTTATTGAAATGACAACACTATGATTTAAGTATATATTTTTACAAGACCATGTACATATTATCTAGCTATCACAACCTTTTTAATTATTGAAAGGATTGTTTAACTTTTATATTTATTTGCCTAAGCAGTCAACGTTTTAAACTTGAGTTACAATCATCTGCTGTTATATAAAAATCTTATACAGGATCCTAATAATGGGCAAAAAGTTATTAAACTATATTGCTCATTTATATTTTATTCACGGCTCTTGTTTTCCTAACTAAGATTTTCTGCAGTTCTTAAAAAACTGGAGGATCCATTTCCTTTCTGCTCACGTTTTTTTTTTTTATTTATGACAAATTCGGATTTATTTATATAATTTTGTCTAATTCACAAATTATAAGTGTAAAAGTGATCCGGCTTAAAATTACAATTTTTTTTCTTAATTTATTTTAGCTATAAGTCTACAAATAATTGCATAATAACTTCCTTGCTGAGCCAATGAAACGTCATGTTGTATGTATGCATAAGAAAATAACTACAGATATAAATTTGTACATATTTAAATTATATCGAATCATCACTTATTTAAATTATTCTTTTGTTTGAGAAATTATATTTTTACGACCATTTTCTATAAGTAGAAGACATAAAATAAGTAAAGAGAGAAAAGTATAAGACAACATAAGTAATATAATAAATATATAGAATAATATTATAAAAATGCCATATAAATATTATATTATTTTAATCTTTCATTTTCTTTCATTATTAATTTTCGTTTTTATTACCATTCGTGTGTGACATGCATATATATAATATAGCATTTGGCTAAATTGTTGATGTAACTCCACACTATGTGCTACCGCTTTTTTCATGTTGTGACATTATTAACAGAAAAATGATAGTTGTGCCTACAACATTTTAGGGGAAAAAAAGGAGAACATAAATGGAATATACAAAAAAAGTGTCTAATAATATGAGCGTGATGTGATAGAAAAAATTGAAGTATGAGAAATAATTTTTTTTATTCAAAAAAGAGAGTATGGGAAACATCTATAATTACCAATGTATAGCTATATATGCCTCTAATATTTGGAGGAAAATAATGGTCCTTAATTATCCTATTTTTGAAGAAAATTAGAAAAGCACTAGCACCCGTATTTTCCTGTTTGGTTTATACTCTTTCTTCCCCAATGGCGTAACATGTGAGGATTAAATATTAACTTTTGAAAATTTCTAAACTTAAAAAATACTATTTTAAAATCATCGATAATTAACACTTGTCACTTTTTTTTTTTTATACATAAAGAGTAATAGCATCTTGTAGAACTCATTTTGGATTCTTTTTTTATGAATCTTTCATTGTTACACAGATGTGGTAAGTTTTCTATATATTTTTTTATAGTGAAAAATTTAACTTCGATTTTAAATTAATTTTATGTGGGTTCTACAAAATCCTATTTTCTTTCTTTTTTGTTATTAAAAATCCATAAAATTTACATGAACACAATTAAAAAATGTGATCGTGTTTATAGATATAGAGAGAGTAAGTGAATTGCATACCGAGTGAAGAAGAGGCCCTTTTGGTGAAGAGGGGAAGCAGAAATTGGTGAGGGGATACTTCTGTTTGTAATGTCTTTGAATTTTTTGATCCCAGCCTCTTTACAAAGCTCTGCATCTGCCACAATTATTAATGGCTGTCTTCCCATATGGAATCTGCACCAACAAATTCACACCATTACATTACAACCCTATGCATAACCCCCAAAACTTTATTACAACAATGAAAATGGAGCCCCAAAAAAAGAGTGCTTAAAACTGTTTTTCATAACTCATAATAATGTTCAAGAGAAAAACACAGTGCTTCTCATTTTTTCACCTTTTCTCTCCACTATCCACCCACTTTCTCACCTTTTTTATTTTCTTATTATTTTTTCACTTTTCAGTTCTGTTTATAGAAAAAATAAACTGTTTCTTAAAAAAATAATTTATTAATTATTATATAAAAAATATTTTTTTTGTTATATTTAAAAAATAAACATTTTTAAACCGTTATTATTAACAAACGTACCTTTAACAAAATTTGTTTTAATATAATATAATTCATTATTAAAATAATTTAATTTTTATAATCTTTCCAAACATATCAGTGAAAATTTTATATATTATATTACCTTATATCTATATAAGATATTAAATTTAAACTCTATTGTCGTGGCTTATAAAAAAGAAAAATTTCATGGTTGTGATCGTATCTTATTTGTTAGAAGTGTTCGTAATGCGAATTAATTTGGTGTCTGTTTCAAAAATCATTTGAATCAAATAAAAAAATTAAGTGTAATTTAATTTGAATGAATTATGAAATCTAAATTAAATCAAACTAATCTTTTGTGATTTAATTTTTACAGTTTTAAAAATTTATTATTTAAATATCAAATAAAAATATATAATATTAAGTTATTTATTTAATATAATTAAAAATATATAAATATTAAAATATTTCAATCATTCAATGTATTTAACATCAATTATTTTAGTAGAAATATTTCTTTAATTCAATTTTAGTTATCATATTAAATATTTTATCTTATATATTTTTTATCACTTAGAAAAAAAAATTCTTAAACATTATAAATAAATTATAATTTTTTATTTTAAAATTTAGTTTAATAACTTATAATTTTATAAAAGACATTTTATGTTATGCATATATATATATATGTGATTTAACATGATTTGGAGCGATTTCAAATTATAATCCAAAAATTAAACTAAATTATATATTTTTTTAAAAAATTTCAAACCAAACTGAATTACTAATCGATAATTTTCTATTAATTTTCAAATTTTTTTGGGATGGAGTTGGAATTTTTTTATTTGGGTTGGTACACCCTTATTATTGTTGAGCAATGAGTGTTGGCGAATATTACTACATGCACAGAATTAATTGATACGGTAATCGCCCCTCCTTTTTTGTATTTCTTACACGAAACTGCCTCTATTTTAAACTTTCTAGCAAAACTTGTATTTCATAATTATGCCGTGTTTAAAGGAAAAAATCTTTAATTTTTTGTGTTTAAAATAAATTAAAATATCCTTAGTATATCGATTTTGCCTCATTTATTATACAAACTTCCTCTATAAGTTAAGCATTACAAAGAACCCTTTCTATTTTATAAATACATTGCAATTAAATCCCTCTATTATAGTAAAAATTTGAAATTATTAAATTCTTAAATGAAATGGGAATGAAATTAGAGTAACACAAAGAATAAAGAATACAATAAATCACTATTTAATATTTATATTCAAAATAAGATTTGATGAAACCATCTTTTAAAATTGTTTTTAGTAATTAAATAAGAAAATAATATTTTTACTGATATACTTATTGATAATTTACATGATTATGAGTTTTTATTGAATTTTTATTACAATACTTTTGGAATATTCCTTGTTATTTATAATTTTGTTATTAATAATATTTTTTATTTATTTTCTTCAATCATTTTAATGTTATATTAGATTTTTTTATCATTTAAATATTATTAATTTAAAATTTTGATTGTTGCAGAGATATTTATTAATAGTAATGTATATAAAATAAAAGGGACTTTGTAATATTTGAGAAATAGAAGGAAATTTACGTAATCAGCCAATATCTATAATAGGGGTACTTTTATGAAATTTATTTTAAAATAAAAAAAGGTTTTGAATTTAAGTGTATCATTTATAAAATAGAAGGGGTTTTATGTAAGAAATGTGAAATAAAAGGGTAGTTGGAACAATTTACCCTTAATCAAAAAAGATTGCAGCATAAATATAAGTGATTATTATAGAATAAACTAATTTATATGTAAGAAGAACTTAAAATTACAAAAATTCATATTCCTCTTTTTAATTTAATTTTATTACAAAAAATATTACGTATATTAATATATAAAAAGTATTATTATAGATATAATATTTGTAAGTATAAATTTATTTAATATATATTTAAATAATATGTATTGTATATCATTATAATTAATATTTACATTCTTTTAATAATATATTATTTATATAAGTAAAAATAGTTTTTAATCAATAATAAATATTATATTTAATAAGATGTGGATCAACAATTTTATTTTAAATATTTCATCATATTAAAAATAAATTCCTCGAGCCAAGTACCTTGTTATATAGTATTTGACACTTAAGAGTAGAATACTAAACATACTACTGTGCTTAAAGCCTTTTTAAAATACATATCAACAAAGACAATTAAGAACTTAAATATAGGAATTTCTTTTATTGTGATGTCAATATAAAAAAAAAAGTTTTCCGTTACAATAAATAAATATATA